CCTCCAGAGGATCAGGCTGACAGAACTCCACCACAAACTCTTCCTCAGCCCCCAACAGCGTTCTGGACCAGGCAGACATGTCAAGTCTTCCAGCCACTCCTCCATACTCTTGAGGAAGCACAGACTGAGGAATGACTCGATGGAGAGAGGCCAAGTCTGAACCGTGAAGGACATACTGTTGGGAGAAGACAGGCCCTTGTTTCCAGTATTATTGTGCTAGAAATGTCTGTGCGTAAATACCAGGATAAGAAGTCGGTTACTTACCCTCTCTGCCATTTTCTCTTTCAGAAATGGCTTAATTATTGCAAAAATACCCTTGAAGATACGTGGCTCATTTATGATGTTTACAGCCTTTATTCTGATTGGGAAGCCATCCTGAAACACAAAAGCAGCAGTCAGTGCTAAAAATCAATGACTTCATCGTAAATAATCTCTGGGCTACTTTTTCCAATGTCTTACCTGAAGGATACCAACAACTTTTTTTGCCAAAAGTGGTCCTGGATTAGAGGCTTGAGAGAGGCCAACTCCTGTATAATCCACCAGGATAACAATTCCATTCACTTGGGTTTCCTCAGGCTGAATCAGCTTCTCTAATGTCAAATAAATTGCCCGAATGTTGTCCACAAATGGGTAATCATTAGGCTTCCATTTACCTAGGAAAGCAAAAGACAAGAAAAAAATGTTTGTTGTAATCATCTTTTCGGCTCAATTATAACATATTTGTGTGCACGAATAAATCATTCATAACAAACAATGCAATATTTGGGGGGGAAAAAAACAAAAAAAAGAGCAGCATTCTGGTTAAAGTTGAGGCACAGTTCCAAAAGGCTTTAATCCTATAAAGCAGGGGATTCAAACTCAGTTCCTGGAGGGACGCAGCCCTGCAGAGTTTAGTTCCAACCCTGCCCCAACACACATACCATGTAGTTTCCAAATAAATCTAAATGACTTGATTAGCTGGATCAGGTGTGTTTAATTAGGGTTGAATCTAAACTGTGCAGGGCTGTGGCCCTCCAGGAACTGAGTTTGACACCCCTGCTATAAAGTATCATAATTCGATACATAATTCTAAAAAAGTATCATAATTCAATACATTAATTTCTAAGGCCTTGCTGAAAAACCTGTTGTACAGAATCTTCTACATCTTCATAATATTCCATGTTTTTTTTTAGTAAGTAAAATACCTTTTAGTATAATTCTAAAAATGTCCACCTTCAGGTCTTGGTATTTTTGCTGCGAAATATTTACTGATTTTTATGACATATGAATGACTTTTACATAGTAATATTTTAAGATGAACATTTAGTGGACTTAAAGGGTTAGTTCACCCAAAAATGAAAAATGTATGTTTATCTGCTTACCCCCAGGGAATCCAAGATGTAGGTGACTTTGTTTCTTCGGTAGGGCCGCCTCACGTGCCGGCTGTCGAGGACGCGCTCAGGACAGTTCAGAAATTGCAGTGCATCAGAGGTAAAAAAACGATATAAATACTGTTCAGTTTCTTGCACAGACCGATCGTTTCGTGTCTTTACACATCAATGTATCGTCACGAGCCGCAGGGTTTAATTTGGTTTTGTTTGTGTATGTTTTTTTTTACTCTCAAAGCCGTGATTCCCATCCACTGACATCATAGGACTGACAGATTGCAACGGTTTGTGTTAAAAATCTTTGTTTGTGTTCTACTGAAGAAACAAGGTCACCTACATCTTTGATGCCCTGGGGGTAAGTAGATAAACATCAAATTTTCATTTTTGGGTGAACTATCCCTTTAAGCAACCTAGGTTGACTGGATTACCCATACATTATTTTTTAGACAAATTATTTTGCATTATATGTTTTGCCCCCTGCAATTAAAACTACAGAGCTTTGATCATGAAACTACTCAATATATTATTGGGAGATATAGAATGACAACTGACATGTATATGCACTTTATGTAAGTTTGCTATACTAATATAATATCTAATTGATTAGCCATCAGAATTTCATCTTACTTTTTGGCCATATCAATATCAGCCATTCCAAATTGCATGTTTTTGCCCATTTTGGGCCTCTGAATAACATTGAGGTGTTTTTCCTTCTTGAGTGTGAGCTCCATTTTTTCACTATATCATACTATATGAGACAAACTCTTCCATTTCAAAAGATTCAATTTTTTTCTAACTATTATGTCTTATGTCAGGTTTCACATAGTTATTTTTTTTATAATTTATTAATCTAACCCAAATATTTGGATTTCATGTCTGATTAGGTCTTGTTAAGACAATAAGAAGAAGCATTACCTGGACGTAAACACAGTATGTAGCGTCCATGAGGGTCTGGTCTGGGCAGGACAGTGAGAAAACCCAGATCTAGGACGTGCTTCACTGTAGAGGGCTTCAGGTCCTGAAACACCTCAGGCCAGGCTTTCCGGCTGGCATGATAATTCAAGAGTAGCTGAAGGGCCCGGTCATAATCAAACTTTCTGGCCCTGAGGAAACGCAGCAGGAATGCATCGTCTAACCGTGTCCTCAGATTAGGGTGGTCTTTTAGTATCATATCTCGTAATGCCTGGACATCCCGGAGCCTCCATTCGGGCTTCTCCTGGAGCTCTTCCCGTGCCTTGGCCACTAGTTCAGGAGTCAGGGTGCAGGCGTAGATGGGTGGGGGAGGAGCTGGGAAGCCTACACCTGCCACCGCTTCCCTTGGTGGGCCAAGATCAATTTGACCATTTTGGTCTGCCATGGGCTATTGGTGTATAGAAATATTCAAGTCTCTTTAAATATAAAATAATGTAAATGACAAACATAGAGCAGTTATGGGCAATTGCATTTCCACAATTTTAGCTAATTTTAAACAATGTCTCAAAATAGAACAATACAGAAATACAATCGAAAAATTAACACTAAATAAGGAACAAATAAGCATTTTTCATTTATGTTGACTAGCTTAAAATAATTAAATTTATTACCAAGTCATTTTACTTTACTACTTTTTGCAACCTGTATTAGCTGTTAAGGTATTTAAGAAGTATTTTCTATTCCCTTCAATAGACTAGTGTGAAAATCAATTATTTTTTGTTGGTAAATGTTAGATTTTGAAGACATTGGGTTCATATTTATATGACAATGTACCTCTTTCTGGTGACCATTAAATTAAAGTAATCATGGTATTATTTTCTACAGTATTTTCTAAATACAGCGAGATGTTTTATGAGGAACAACTGTAGTTGGACTCATATACTTAAACATGAACTGCACTATCATATGAATAAGAAAAAATATATAACGTTACATCTCTAATCACTGATGTCAGAACCATAGCTAAATCAATATGAAATCATCTTAACGCTACTGTGGTGCTCATGAATTACTGTAATTAAACATATAAAAACGACGCTTGGTACTTTAAAATGCTGAATGGTTACATTTATCGTGATAGCTTCCGTTTTTCAACGTTTAATAGTTGATGCCCTTCACGTAAAACCTAACACAAATCAAACAGGGAATATAATCAACCTACCTAAGAAATCCGCAATCAATTCCGTGTACAGGGAGAAGCCGTTCTACCATTGGTCATTCTGTATCATGTGATGTTTGACGAAAGACACGTTTATTCTGCCTGTTTCCCTTAAAGCTGAAGTGTGTAATTCTTTCGAAATAAAACATCGAGATATCCCAATTAATATGCAGAGGCAATTATAAAAAAGTAGTTTGTAGTCTGATTTACCGTAAAATGTAAACACTTTGACTCTATGACATTATCAAACATTGCTCGGATTATTTGAGCATCTTTACAGCGCAACATTGGCTCAACCAATGGCGTGGGTTTGGGGGCAGGACTATGTGTTTTTGGCCAATTGCAGCAGACACAACTGCTCGGGGTTCGGGGTAACCTGTTTACAGACGCGGTACAGGTAAGGGGGGATTTTTGCTTTAAGCAAAAGTGGCGTTGGTTTTGGTTATAAAAATCGACTTTTACTTTTCATATGCTGTTAATAGGCCACACCTTGTTACATTCTGTCCCATCGAAGTACCGTAGTTGTTCGAAACAGTTATGAAATAAACAATGTTGAACTAAGCCAGTGGTTCTCAAACCTGTGCTGGAGTACCCCCAGCCCTGCACATTTTGTATGTCTCCCTCATCTATCACACCTCATCAGCTCATTAGTGGAGACTGCAAGACCTGAAGTGGGTGTGTCAGATATAGGGAGACACAAAATGTGCAGTGCTGGGGGTACTTAATGGAGAGGTTTGAGAACCACTGAACTAGGCTATATCTTGAAAGCTACTTGACACTAGGTTTATTGAATTATAGATGTGATTAACGTGAGGTTCATTCAATAATTGGCACATCTGGTTATATCATTCCTGACAAAGATTTCTTAAGAGAAACTATCAGTAAAGGCGCCTGCTTTATGAATTGTTTTATTGTCTGTTATCAGTGTTGAGAAGCACACACCCCCAGCACTAAAAATCCTTGACCATTCTCTGCCACGTACACTTACTTTTATCATCTTGTTTTGAAGCAGGTTTTACAGCTGGAGATGATTATGAGCCTGAAAAGTTCCTCTGAAAAACTTTTGCCATCGAGTAAGGCTTTAAATTTGGAAGGAAATGGCGTATGCATGATCACAGTTTAAGTGCCTGCTGAAAAATAAAAAAATAAAAAATCTTAAACCAGTCTTACTTTGCTGGATTTTATCTGGTCTTCTAGCCTGACCTGATATTTCTCTGAAACCTGTACTAGTCCAGACCAACAAACCATTTTAGACTAGTTTAAGTTGGATTTTCTAGGAGGGTATATAAAAAATAAAAAGGATTATTTGAGATGTTAGTTCAGACCACCCACTGAAATTATGGTGGATGCTGTTTAAAAACTTTATTATATAGAAATACGTTATAGCGTGTATAACCTTATTATATAGCAGCTTGTGTGACCTCAAGATAAGATTCAAAAAGATAATTATAGAGATATGAATGGAAAGAAACAACAGCACGCTTTTATGTAAAAATATAGCCTTGACATTTAATATCAGTTCACATTGCAAGTTTGAAATTACCCTTCTCCCTGAAGGCAGTCATTGTAAATTGGCAGTAAATGACCAACATGTAAAACTATAAATGAGTGTGACATTCTCTTACTGTATGCATACATACACATCACTAGTTACAGTTAAGGGGTTGAACAGGAGACTTTTTTTTTTTTTTAAATCCTAAAATCATGAATTAGAAGAGACTAAATCCTTTTATGAACAAAAGGAAATCATTATATTTACAATTGAAGTATGGCACAAACAGAAAAATATGAAATGCACATACTCTTAGCATACATAAAATAATTACCAGCATTTTGGTAAATAACAATATTTCCAAGGCACAAAATGTTATGTATTCTAGTATGCTACCGTAAAAGTACTATAAGAGCAAGAAGCAAGCTGTTAAAATACTGTACAACAAAACAAACATCTGATCACATTCAGGCCTGCTGTAACATTTATGGAACTCAAACTCTCCTTGAAAGGAGAATAAAACTTGCATAGCCTTTGTATAATATGGTCCTTTCTGACTTTTTAAATTCTGTTGTGACTCCTTGGGTAGTATAAATATGCACCACTATTTCATTCTAAAACATGCATACAGCAAACAAATGAGATGGGATGAACATAGATTTAAAGTGTGATTGTTGCACACCTTTAAACTCAACTATTTTGGTCTAAAGTTCTTAAAATAGGAAATTCTGAACAATTTCACTGTCTTTTCTAAAAACCTTAAATTTAACAGCTAGTTAATATAAATGTCAGTGTTACTGTGTCCAGATGCCTATGAGAATGAATTGTCACACTCAGCGCAGCCTATTCATAGTAACAAGTTAAAAAACTTGATCTGTATTTCTCTGTGCACTCAGATGGCCTCTTGTTTTGTGATGGTTGGTTGAGGGATGGAGCTTGGTTGCTTTGGCACTGTGGCTATAACCCCCGGTGCCATTTTGTAATGATCAGAACCTGTGGCTGTCGGGGGAGATGGGATTGGAGTTTCCGGAGTGGCTGTTTGGAAAAAAAAAAAAGCAAGAGGATACATTAAATCAAGGGTCCACATAGGGGTATTATGAAACCTTAAATAAACATAATTTGCATAGCATGATTACATGCAAAAGAAAGAAATCATTGGTTGACACAAAATAAGCACGCTTATGAAATTTCTGAATGCATTAGGGTAGAAAAGCATTACAGTAGCCGTCTTTGACAAAATAAGCCTGATTAGTTTCTACGATTTTGGCAAGGATTACTCCAACAAGCCTGTTTGTCCCTGACTAGCTGGTTTTCACATGTTAAGGACCTATATTTTCTGTTAGGTCTTCCTTCATAACAAATGTTCTTTCACTTGGTTCAAGAAGATAGAGTTACTTACACATTTGGCCATTGTGAATTGGAGTAGCCATGTTTGTGGTGACTATGACATTGTTACTGAGGTGCTCCTGGACCAGATGTGGGTGTAGAGAATGATGGGCATGAGGAGCTTCATTAGCAGAACCTGACAGAAAAAGAGAGTCATTAAATCTCTGATTGGGAAGATCATTTACAAATCTGAATCAAGTAGGAACTTGTTTTTTCAGTCTATATGTAGAGCAGATTATTAAGAAACCGGTAGTTATAGGCTGCCTTTTTTATCTTTTATAACAAGTTATTCCTGTTGTTCCCAGATGTTTATCATGCATCTCAGATATTGCAGCTTTGACTGCTATCCAAAGTTAAGGGTCATTTATATACAGCGCTGTGCCACAATTGTCTGATAACCATGACTTGCACTTTTCTACAAAAATTTCCTTTCATTAACAGAAATCAGTTACCTCCTAGAAGCATCTCTTGTAGCAGGTTGTCTATCTTCACCATTCCAAACAATTTAACAAATTGGATTTGCTCGATCATTTGCCAGGTGATACTCTGTAGCGTTGGCAACAGAAGTAGTAGCTCGCCGAACCGTCCTCGTGAATCGTACTGCCGGTCATTTATGTAGTCCTCCAAACTAACTTGAACTTGGTATCGCATGCGTTTGATCTTGCTTGGGTCGCTTAAACCTTTGGCATCTACGTGAGTAGTGAAAGATCATCACATTAGATCAGTTTGAAAACTCACTTGATATTCTGCTCTGTTTTGTCTCTTTTTTAGGAAAATTTATCTACCTGGATCGAAAAATACAATGGCCTTCAAACAGGCATATTCATTGTCATCAATCTGGAGATCCTGGAAGGGAAGGACTAACTCGTCAAGGATCCTTACAGCCACACGGCTCACCTCCAATTCGGGGCAATTTCGTGGAATTATATGATCATTACCTGCGAGAATCATGGAAAATTGTGAGGTAAAACATTAGTAAAATAGCTCGAGTCCAGAAGACTGTCATATCCACATTTCCAATGTGTCTTGCTTAAAAACGTACCTAATAGTAAAATGTCCTTATACAGCATGGAGCGTTTGGCAGCTCCTAGCAGGAGATGTTCTCCAGCATGAGCTCGCAGTAAAGCCACCTGAGACAAATGAACAAGCGTTTGATTGGTTAGAGCCCTTTTTATAACCATATCATCTCATTTTTTAACTTAAGATTAAATGTAGATATTTTTGAAGTATTTTTAGAGGCAAAATTAGGTTGGTCGTCATGCCGGTATGCGCATGTGTGTTTTCACGTGTATGTTTGTGTGAGAAGATGCGGTTTGAGGCGCTCTCACCCACAGCTAAAACACTGATCAGTTATCATGCCTCAGTGCTCAGCATGTTAATGATTCTGAATGTCTCAAGAAGAGATGTAACTTTCAAACCAGCTCATCATATTCTAACCTGAACCATCTAAATACATTAACCACCCAAATGAAAGATCTCTGAACTTTTTTTCCGACTGATATAAAAAATATGAGCCAGCTGGCATTAATATCTATGAAATATATATATTAGGAGTACTCCTAATATATATATATATATTTCATAGATATGAATGCATTTTCAGCTAAATAAGACGTTCTTACCTCTTAATAAGAGGGATCTTACCTGATCATCCAGGGGAAGGTCACAGAATGCTGGAATGTATTTAGCCCATTCAACCAGCACCAGCAGCTGCTGTTTCATAGACTCGCACACATCAGTTATAGTGGCTACCTTCTTTGTTCTGATGTCGCCATTCAAGATAGGACCAGGTGATGAGATCTGCGTAGTAGCATATGGGAGAATTTTACATTTATAAATGTAAATGATATAATATATTTTAAAGGTGAATTTTGTCATTTCTGTGCCTCTAGCTACACCCAGTGAAACTGCAGAAATATTGACTGTTTCCGAACGGGTTTCCAAAACAATCTCCCGGTTTACCATTGGTCAGGTAGTCATGCCCCAAACCCATGCCATTGGTTGAGCATGTGTTGCTATGCGGTTCTAATTGGGATGCTCAAACAAACAGGGCAATGTTTTGATAGCTGTGCCACAGTGTTTACACTTTTTCAGAGGAATCAACCTACAGATGTATTACTTGTAGTCTCTTCATGTTAAACTGGGTTAAGAGAACATATTTTACACAATTCACCTTGTGATTTGAACCTAGATTTGAATCACACTGTGTACCTGTCTAGAAAGGACATCAGCCTGAATGAGTGCATTTATGGAGGGTAAGCTGCTGTCTTCATAGCTGGATCTTCTGGTGCTAATCCTGTCTCTTTCATTCTGCACAGCTGAGAATGAGAAAAACACTTTTAATCAGCAAATTAACATTCAATTTAATACAAATACACATAGAAGGTTTATTTTAAACAAAAAACAGCTCTGGTTAAACCACTGAAATATACTCTTTCATTATCAGTAGTAGTGAACCAGTTCCTACGACCAGTTGAGATTGGAGAGATGAGGGATATTTGCTGACTCTGTGGGGGGGGGGGGGTCATTCTGCACAGCTGAGAATGAGAGGAACACTTTTAATCAGCAAATTAACGTTAAATTTATTACAAATACACATAGAAGGTGTATTTTGACCAATACAGAAAAAAACAGCTCTGAGTAAACCACTGAAACATACTCTTTCATTATCAGTAGCAGTGAATGCCACCCAGTTCTGACAACCAATTGAGATAGCAGGGATGAGGCATATTAGCCGACTTTGTGAGAGGGGGGAGTCCTCAAGGTTGCGCTTTTTTATCAGTGTGCAGTTATGATGGCTCTAAACTGTTTGTTCAACATAAACCAGACATAGACCTCAGTGCATTGTTGAGTGAACATTAACAAAATGTCTGTCGCTAACTCTTTCCCTGCTGTTGCAACATCTCCCATTTGCGCCACCTCATCCCCTAACCTCCCAAACAGGGCAGGGGGATTTAATCTGTTTTTTAGTTCTTTAACAGCATTATATGAATAAAATCTTACAGCATGAACAAATACCTTCCTTCTTCATCCCAGCTCGAAAACATTTCTTTAGTCTGCAGTACCGGCACTGATTTCTCTTGTCTTTGTCCACTATGCACTGTCTGTTAAATCTGTATGGAAGCATAAAGAAGTCAGAGATTTACTTTGACATTGGATAAATTGGATGGAAACATGGTCTTTTATGCAGAATTATGGCATTATGTTTGCAAAATGTAGCCAAAAGTTAGGTTTCTGACCTGCAGGAATACATGTGGTTTTTGCGTACGCTGCGTCTGAAGAACCCCTTGCATCCGTCACAGCTGGAGGCTCCGTAGTGCTTTCCTGTGGCCCGGTCCCCACAGATGGCACATAGGGTGCCGGCCCCTAAATGGTTGGCAACATTCATGTTGGCACTCTCAGCTGGCGAGGAGTCTGAAATCATGGAGGATCTTGAATTTAGTGTCACAAGTGATTTAAATTCTCTTTTCTGTTTTTAACTATTCATTTCAAGCCAAAAAAATAGTGTGAGAAAGAAGAGCTGCTTAAAATCCCAGAGTCGATTTTAAGCAGCCCTTCTTTCTCACACTATTTTTTTTGGCTTGAAAACCCATTAAGTTTATGTAATGCTGTGAAACACTTCTTTTTCTGAATGAGACTTAAATATCTTGGTTGCAGATGGAACCAGTCAGACTCCTGATTCCAGACCAATCAGAGTTAAAGTAAATAGGGGAAAGGTCATGGGGTGAAAAATACTCTCAAAAATAAATTTTTATAGCTAAATCAATTGGCAGTGAATCATCATCATGAACATGAGCTGGAAAGGGCTGTTTGCTAAGTAGTCCAGAAGTGATTAGTGCTAAACCTGTACATTATAATATATAATAATAATTTCACACTAAGATGTGTGAGTTGTTAAATGTCTTTTATTATGTTAGAGGTAATCAAATATAATTACATTCAAACCCAAGCAATGATCAAAGGCAAAACATTGTTAAATGGTTAATCAGTGTAAGTGATTATTTGGTGATCATCTAAATGTAGAATAATTTGTGATTTCCCCTAAACTGTTGTGCTTAAATATATGTGATTTAAAAATGTTAAAATGTAAAATATTTGCTATAATATTTCATAATTACAAAAAAGTTATAATTTTATAAAATTATATTATAAATAATTTAAATATACTGTTGAATAAACACCCTCTACAATTAATGACAATGTAACTTCAATATTTGAGTCAGTCAAAATTTTTTTTTAATAAAATTACATTTTATTTTCAAATGTCAATCTAACTCAAATGTAAACATTTTATAAATTGGACTCTTACTGCTTTACCTAAATATAACTACCATACATATTAGATTACTTTGTCAGGTCGATACTGGTTGGATATCAATTTGTTTCACAAAACCTAGACATGGGAGACTTAGCTGCGAAACATTTACATGACACCCTCTTTGCTCAGTAATCATTCATCTTGGTGTCAAACTTCTCTTGAAATACTATCCAAACAAGTCATTTTATCCCAAGCCGACTGTATGAGAACAAGCAAGAGGAGGCGAATGAACCTCTTCTCCTTGTAGAGTACCCTGTCTGCAGGACAGAGCATGCTGTGCTTCTTATCTTCTGAAAAATTCATTTTGTATTGGCTTTTACAATCAGTATTGGGTGTTCTGTGCAAAAGGTTACGAACTTGCCAATTGGCACTTAACTATAACCCTGTTAAACATCTGCCTCCCACACTTGACCATATACTATATACTAGCCTATATAAGTCACTAAAGGTCTCAAAGTTCACCGCGGGTCTGAGCGGATGACTCACCTGTGCTCATCGCAAGCACTTGCATGTTCTCAAACTCCAGGGTGGTGTAGGCTGGGTCCAAGGCCTCGCTATAATCTGCCATCTCCATGTCTACTAGTGGTTTGGACAGACGCATTCTCAGCTACCTGATGCTGGGGGGAAAGACTTGTCCTCTCCACAGCATTTGGACACCCCCTCATAGGCCAAGCCCCTCCTCTCGGAGGGGTAGACACCTCTGAGTGACAGGGGCCATGTCCTCAAGGGCAAAGATGAGGTTTGCTGTGATTGACAGTTCAGGCCTCCTCCCAGGGCACGGCCCCATTCTGAAGTGGGATGGCTCTTATGTTAATGATTAAAGTGCTAAATCAGAGTTGTTTTTTCAGAGACGGAGACAAACAGGGGGTTTTACTGTCTTATTTTTTGTCTCAATGCCCTAAATTGACTACTAGAAAAATATAGCCAGTCTCAACACTATGCTTTCTATCTCAGTTCCCCAACAAGGGCTTTAGGGGTCAAGAAAGATGACTGTCTGGGTCTTGACACATATTAGACACTATGGAAAAAGTCACTCGTATTTGACTCTAATGTATAAGATTGAAAGTAAGTGGTCCGCATTTCAACGTGCAAATTACGTGTTTGCTAAATCTCTGTTAATTCTAGCACAATAAACAACAGCAATAACTCACACAGAGTAAAATTTGTGGCCTTTATGTAATAGAGCTCATTGTTCTGTTGAACATTCTGCATGTGCACGTGATACACAACTCCATTCCTGTTGTACAGAAGAGATTGTTTTCTTCTCATCAAACCTGTGCTAAACTAGCATTTGGTAGGCAGTAAAATATCTAGATGAATTTGTGATAACACACAGACAGCTGTGTTGCCAGAAATTCACTGTAAAAAGTAATGTTTCTGGACATTTTAATCTCATATGTCAATATGATGGTAATATACACTGGTGTTCAAAAGTTTGGGATCAGAAATATTTTTTATGTTTTTTAAAGAAGTCTCTTATGCTCATCAAGGCTGTATTTATTTGATCAAAAATACAGAAAAAACTGTGATACTGTGAAATATTATTGCAATTTCTAATATTGCTTTCCTATATTAATATACTTTAAAATGTAATTTCAAATCTTTTATAACAATAAATGTCTTTACTATCACTTTTTATCCATTTAACTCATCGTTGTGGAATAAAAGTGTTAATTTCTTTAAAAAAATTTGGTGACCCCAAACTTTTGGATAGTAGTGTATATTGTAACACAAAATTTTTATTTTAAAGGGCTCCTATTATGCTCTTTTACAAGTCTTGATTTTGTTTGGGGGTGTACTACAACAGGCTCTCATACTAGGTTGTTCGAAAAACATTATTTTTCACATATTTTACATTATTACAACACCTCTTTCCCCAGTCTGGCATGAACGGCTCGAATAGTTCCTGTATCAAATGAAGGCCCGCCTTCTGAAATACGAAATGTGCTGTGATTGGTTAGCTGGGCCAGTGTGTGTTGTGATTGGCAGCACTCGGCGCCTGGCCGGGAAATGTCATGCCCCTTACCATAGCCGCCTGCGAGCTCCAGTGTAAATATTGCGTCAATATCAAATCAATTTCAGCGTGATTTAAACCCAGGTGATTGTAATCACTCTAAGTTCGTCTGCCTTGGGAAAGCTAGCGTGTCTCTGACATAGTGATAACACTCGTTGCCTTCTCTAGTGCAGCTCAACCAGGTCTCGTCCCATTCGTCGATATTTGTGATATCACAAATCCAGGAAAATATGCGTTGTAGTCCAAACGAGTCATTCGTTGTAGTTTTTGAAAAGTGATTTCTGTTAAATAAAATATCTCCTTTTGAAGTGGACTTTGAGCTTTGTAACTTTGCAGATCTTTTTTTATGCTCAAACAGCAACATTACAGACTAACTAAAGTTGAAAAAGTGAAAAAGCATAATAGGACCCCTTTAAATAAACACTGTTCTTTTTAACTTTTTATTTACCAAAGAATCCTGAAAAAGTATCACAAGTCCCAAAAATAAGCAGCACAACTGTTTCCAGCACTGATTATAAATCAGCTTATTAGAATGATTTCTAAAGGATCACGTGACACTGAAGACTGGAGCAACGGTGCTGAAAATTCAGCTTTGCTTCACAGGAATAAATTATATTTTAAAGTGTATTAAAATAGAACACTTTTATTTCATAAAATTACATTTTTTTTCTGTGTTTTTGATCAAATAAATGCATCCTTGATGAGCATAAGAAACTTCTTCAAAAAATCTTACTGATCCCAAACTTTTGAACAGCTCTGTACGCGTAGTAAAAATGGGTAGTTAGTAGTTAAATTAGTAGTCAATAAATACATTTCATTCATTTATTTATTTTACTGTAACACTTACTGTAAATTGTATGACAATTCATACTTTTTACTTCTTTTTTTGAGCGTTTTACAGTAGAATTGTCCTGTTAAAGCAACGTATACAGTAAGGTTTTTATTCTTTTACATTACTCTGTTATATTACATATTATTTTATTCCTTTCCCATTAAAATTTCTAAAATTTTTAAGCTTTGGTGGCATCTGTTATTATCTCCACATATTGGCATTCAAGACTTGGCATTCAAACTATACTCTTAAAAATAAAGGGTCTTTATTGGCATCTATTGTTCCATGAAAAAAACCATTAACATTCATGGAACCTTCCCATTGCAAAAAGGTTGATTAGATTATTAAAATGTTCTTCACACTAAGAAAAAAAATATTCGAGGAATCCAAAATGGTATTGCTGTGAAACCCCCTTTTGGAACCTTTTATTTTTTTAAGAGTTTTTTTTTATTTTTAAGATTCTGACAAAACAGTCTCGTCTGTAAAAACTTCTAGTTTTGAGATTAGAAAAACTGAGATGATCATCTCTGTACATATTGTAATGCCAAATCTGTAGAACAATCTATATTTTCCCCAACTCTTTTGGGAGTGGATAAATCTATTTGTTACTCAAACAGGAAGATTTGATGTAACAATTACGCAAGTACCAACTTCAAGTACATAAGTATCAGGGCCAGTGCAAACAGAGGCAAGTATGTATATTTGAAGAGTAGAAAGCAACAGAACAAACCATGGGTCATCGTTCCTCAGTTCAGACCTGCCCTGGAGCCTGTAAAATCCACCTGCCTATATAGAGAATATAGAGCTACTGTAGCTATACTGTCAGATGAACAACCTAGATTCTTGCTGTTTAAATCAAATTTGTTTGAGATACTTCATTGCTGTAATAGGTGTGTCACAGTAGTGTTTCGTGTTTGTTTTATGTTTAAATTAAATTACTCCACCGCATGAAATTTAATGAGAATGTGGGATTATGTATTTTATGTTGAGCTTGCTAAAACACCCCAGACATTGTTTACTGTCTGTAAATGGCAGATCCCACCTGACCATCTCTGTGGACTAAAAGTGCTGAGCTGGTTTTAAACCGGCTGGAAAACACCTAAACTTACAAGATAGCTGGTTCTGAATACATTAGACACTTGCATATTCATAGAGATATAAAAAGTGAATTATATTCACAAGAAGAAGTGTCTGTATGGTTGTGTCTTGCCTAAAGCTTTGACCGGGATGATGTTTGACTCGTACATCTC